TTATTGATCACGAGCGAGTGATTGGGGGGGTTATTGATCACGAGCGAGTGATTGGGGGGGTTATTGATCACGAGCGAGTGATTGGGGGGGTTATTGATCACGAGCGAGTGATTGGGGGGGTTATTGATCACGAGCGAGTGATTGGGGGGGTTATTGATCACGAGCGAGTGATTGGGGGGGTTATTGATCACGAGCGAGTGATTGGGGGGGTTATTGATCACGAGCGAGTGATTGGGGGGGTTATTGATCACGAGCGATGGGGGGTTATTGATCACGAGTGATTGGGGGGTTATGATCACGAGTGATTGGGGGGTTATTGATCACGAGTGATTGGGGGGGTTATTGATCACGAGCGAGTGATTGGGGGGGTTATTGATCACGAGCGAGTGATTGGGGGGGTTATTGATCACGAGCGAGTGATTGGGGGGTTATTGATCACGAGCGAGTGATTGGGGGGGTTATTGATCACGAGCGAGTGATTGGGGGGGTTATTGATCACGAGCGAGTGATTGGGGGGGTTATTGATCACGAGCGAGTGATTGGGGGGTTATTGATCACGAGCGAGGGATTGGGGGGGTTATTGATCACGAGGAGTGATTGGGGGGTTATTGATCAGAGCGAGTGATTGGGGGTTATTGATCACGAGCGAGTGATTGGGGGTTATTGATCACGAGCGAGTGATGGGGGGGTTATTGATCACGAGCGAGTGATTGGGGGGTTATTGATCACGGCGAGTGATTGGGGGGGTTATTGATCACGAGCGAGTGATTGGGGGGGTTATTGATCACGAGCGAGTGATTGGGGGGGTTATTGATCACGAGCGAGTGATTGGGGGGTTATTGATCACGAGCGTGATTGGGGGGTTATTGATCACGAGCGAGTGATTGGGGGGGTTATTGATCACGAGCGAGTGATTGGGGGGGTTATTGATCACGAGCGAGTGATTGGGGGGTTATTGATCACGAGTGATTGGGGGGTTATTGATCACGAGTGATTGGGGGGTTATTGATCACGAGTGATTGGGGGGGTATTGATCACGAGCGAGTGATTGGGGGGTTATTGATCACGAGCGAGTGATTGGGGGGGTTATTGATCACGAGCGAGTGATTGGGGGGTTATTGATCACGAGCGAGTGATTGGGGGGTTATTGATCACGAGCGAGTGATTGGGGGGGTTATTGATCACGAGCGAGTGATTGGGGGGTTATTGATCACGAGCGAGTGATTGGGGGGTTATTGATCACGAGCGAGTGATTGGGGGGGTTATTGATCACGAGCGAGTGATTGGGGGGGTTATTGATCACGAGGGAGTGATTGGGGGGTTATTGATCACGAGCGAGTGATTGGGGGGTTATGATCACGAGCGAGTGATTGGGGGGGTTATGATCACGAGCGAGTGATTGGGGGGGTTATGATCACGAGCGAGTGATTGGGGGGTTATTGATCACGAGCGAGTGATTGGGGGGGTTATTGATCACGAGCGAGTGATTGGGGGGGTTTGATCACGAGCGAGTGTGGGGGGTTATTGATCACGAGTGATTGGGGGGTTATGATCACGAGTGATTGGGGGGGTTATTGATCACGAGTGATTGGGGGGGTTATTGATCACGAGCGAGTGATTGGGGGGGGTTATTGATCACGAGCGAGTGATTGGGGGGGTTATTGATCACGAGCGAGTGATTGGGGGGGTTATTGATCATGAGCGAGTGATTGGGGGGTTATTGATCACAGCGAGTGATTGGGGGGTTATTGATCACGAGCGAGTGATTGGGGGGGTTATTGATCACGAGCGAGTGATTGGGGGGTTATTGATCACGAGCGAGTGATTGGGGGGTTATTGATCACGAGCGAGTGATTGGGGGGGTTATTGATCACGAGCGAGTGATTGGGGGGGTTATTGATCACGAGGAGTGATTGGGGGGTTATTGATCACGAGCGAGTGATTGGGGGGTTTTGATCACGAGGGAGTGATTGGGGGGGTTATTGATCACGAGCGAGTGATTGGGGGGGTTATTGCACGAGCGAGTGATTGGGGGGTTATTGATCACGAGTGATTGGGGGGTTATGATCACGAGTGATTGGGGGGGTTATTGATCACGAGTGATTGGGGGGGTTATTGATCACGAGCGAGTGATTGGGGGGGTTATGATCACGAGCGAGTGATTGGGGGGGTTATTGATCACGATGCGAGTGATTGGGGGGTTATTGATCGACGAGTGATTGGGGGGGTTATTGATCACGAGCGAGTGATTGGGGGGTTATTGATCACGAGCGAGTGATTGGGGGGGTTATTGATCACGAGCGAGTGATTGGGGGGGTTGATCACGAGCGAGTGATTGGGGGGTTATGATCACGAGCGAGTGATTGGGGGGGTTATTGATCACGAGCGAGTGATTGGGGGGTTATTGATCACGAGGAGTGATTGGGGGGTTATTGATCACGAGCGAGTGATTGGGGGGGTTATTGATCACGAGCGAGTGATTGGGGGGGTTATTGATCACGAGCGAGTGTTGGGGGGTTATTGATCACGAGTGATTGGGGGGTTATTGATCACGAGTGATTGGGGGGGTTATTGATCACGAGTGATTGGGGGGGTTATTGATCACGAGTGATTGGGGGTTATTGATCACGAGTGATTGGGGGGTTATTGATCACGAGTGATTGGGGGGTTATTGATCACGAGTGATTGGGGGGTATTGATCACGAGCGAGTGATTGGGGGGGTTATTGATCACGAGCGAGTGATTGGGGGGTTATTGATCACGAGCGAGTGATTGGGGGGGTTGATCACGAGGAGTGATTGGGGGGTTATTGATCACGAGCGAGTGATTGGGGGGGTTATTGATCACGAGCGAGTGATTGGGGGGGTTATGATCACGAGCGAGTGATTGGGGGGGTTATTGATCACGAGCGAGTGATTGGGGGGTTATTGATCACGGCGAGTGATTGGGGGGGTTATTGATCACGAGCGAGTGATTGGGGGGGTTATGATCACGAGTGATTGGGGGGTTATTGATCACGAGTGATTGGGGGGTTATGATCACGAGTGATTGGGGGGGGTTATTGATCACGAGTGATTGGGGGGTTATTGATCACGAGCGAGTGATTGGGGGGGTTATTGATCACGAGGAGTGATTGGGGGGGTTATTGATCACGAGGGAGTGATTGGGGGGGTTATTGATCACGAGCGAGTGATTGGGGGGTTATTGATCACGAGCGAGTGATTGGGGGTTATTGATCGAGCGAGTGATTGGGGGGTTATTGATCACGAGCGAGTGATTGGGGGGGTTATGATCACGAGCGAGTGATGGGGGGGTTATTGATCACGAGAGAGTGATGGGGGGGTTATGATCACGAGCGAGTGATTGGGGGGGTTATTGATCACGAGCGAGTGATTGGGGGGGTTATTGATCAGAGCGAGTGATTGGGGGGTTATTGATCACGAGCGTGATTGGGGGGGTTATTGATCACGAGCGAGTGATTGGGGGGGTTATTGATCACGAGCGAGTGATTGGGGGGTTATTGATCACGGGAGTGATTGGGGGGGTTATTGATCACGAGCGAGTGATTGGGGGGGTTATTGATCACGAGCGAGAGTGATTGGGGGGTTATGATCACGAGAGAGTGATTGGGGGGGTTATTGATCACGAGCGAGTGATTGGGGGGGTATTGATCACGAGCGAGTGATTGGGGGGGTTATTGATCACGAGCGAGTGATTGGGGGGGTTATTGATCACGAGCGAGTGATTGGGGGGGGTTATTGATCACGAGTGATTGGGGGGATTGATCGACGAGTGATTGGGGGGTTATCGATCACGAGTGATTGGGGGGGTTATTGATCACGAGTGAGTGATTGGGGGGTATTGATCACGCGAGCGAGTGATTGGGGGAGGTTATTGAT